GTAGAAAGCGAAAAAGCTATTAGTGTGTGGGATAAGTGCTGAAGAGTACAACTGGATTTCTGCTTGTGAATCAGCGAAAGAAATCTTGGACTCTTTGGTGACTGCTTGTGAGGGTACAAAGTCGGTGAAGGAGCCGACGGTGGGAATGTTGACCACACAATATGAAAATATCACAATAAAAGAAGGGAAAACTATCCATGATATGCAAAAAAACATTCGTTAATAACCAACGAGCTACAGAGTTTAGGAGAAGCTATCCGTACAAGCAAGAAAGTCAGGAAGATTCTTTGCATCCTCCCTAAGTAATGGGCAAGCAAAGTTGATGTTATTACTGAAGCTAAGGATCTGAAGGTGTTGACAATGGATGCTCTCATAGGAAATCTTAAAACTTATGAAATTAATAGGATTCAGTACATTTCAAATGAGTGAGATAAGAAAGACAAGTCTCTACTTCTCAAAATCTCACCTGGTGAAGCCTTTAGTGAAGAGGATGACACCGCTTATCTCACCAAGGGATTTCATTAAATTGTGAGAAAACATGGAGGATTTAGAAAGAAGGAAATCATCATCGGGCTACAACAGATAGTGACATTTGTCACATGTGCGGAAAAGCGGGGCACTTTATAAGAGATTTCCCAATGGACAAAGCTAAAAACAAAAAGTATAAAAAACATGAAGTTGAAAAAGATAAACGAAGGGTCCTTCTACATGATAAAAATGCAAGAAAAGCGGCAGTTGACTACGCCGAGAGTAAAGCTCTTGTTGTACGAGAGAATCTTTAAGTGAATCACAATGACCGGATGAGGCATCCATGCTGGTTTTTAAAGATGATGCAAACGTATTTGATGGACTGTTTACCCTCATGGAAAAATCAGATGATGAGGACGTTGATGAAAAGGTAACCCTCTTTGACCTCAAGCAAAACTGAAATACTTATTTTGTTAGAAGGTTGAGGAATCTAGCAAATGTTTCGATTGACTCTACCATAGAGTTAGCCACTGAAAAAGAGTCCATGAACATCAGTCTTGATAGTCTGAGTGAACAAAGAATAATGATGACTATGCACATGTCAATCATTGAGGAACAAGTAATTTTCTAGAATCTAAAAAGCTAAAACTCAAGGACCAAATGAATCTAATGATTAAGAAATTTGAGGAAATAAAGGAAGAGGCTATTAGCTTGCAAGCAGAGCTATAAGCTTGTCTGAATACGGCTGAAACCATACTTGCTCTAGCTTTGCAAAGAAATCAATAGATAAAGAAGGACTTGTACCGTCTTACAGAAGAACTTCAATATTCTATAAAATGGACCACCTCGACCAAGATTTTTTCCAACATCACTATTCAAAAAACCTATAACATAAAAGCATTAAGTAGTTTGAGCATTACTTCATCGTCCAATCCTGTCACAATCGGGGATCACCCCCTATACATAACCGACGTAGTCATCCTTGGAGATGATGAAGACTAAACTCTTAGCATTCATCATTAAATTTTATATGTTAAAAAGTGCGGAAAATTAAAAAAATTTCATACGTATCTACATAGTGAAGTTTACATAGACCTCTTGCATACTACATGTTTAGCTTACTTTGACTACTCCCACATGAAACATACATAGGCTTCTCCTTTAAACAACATAAGATACACAAAAATTAGTCTAATGCATTGGCTCATATTGAACTATCTAAAATAAGTACAAATGTTGGACATAACCAATTCGAAGTCAATATGTCATTATAGGCTTACATCAATATTCAAATGATAAAGGAATGAACAATGTCTTTATGACAATACAACATCAAAGCTAGAGTATAGAGAAGGTAACATCCTTGGACATGAGGACCTACCAATACTTTGAGAAAAGAGTCCAAGTCTTCTTCAATCGTCCTTCTAGGAACTCAATGGATGAAACATACATATTTGTAGAAAACATAGAGATATGGGTTAGTACACCACTCGTACTAAATATGGAAACATATGCACATAAAACATTGAAATCATGCTTAAAGCGACATTTATTCAAAACCATGCTATGTTACATTGGAAAGCCTTTATGCACAATCAAGAATACATATGAGCCAATGATCACATATTCATTAAGACAAGACCATATACAATATAAGACCAACATCATCAATTAAAGTCAAGTAAACATGTGTAGTATCATATTAGAGCACATGAACAAAACAAGTCCAACATAATTTTATAACAACAAAACATGTATAAGAGTTCATAACATTACAACATATCCATGACCCTTACTCATAACCCATTACCATGCTTACAAGTGCAATGATCACGTGAAGGCCCATAACCCCACAAACCAAGTAAAATCTAGCAAAGGATCAAAGCAATATCTAACCTCATATAACATAACATAATGAGTACTAATCATCATATTTAGCAATGTATAACAATAACATGTTCATAAGTGAAACTAACATCATATAAAATTATCAACATGTAAAGTCAACATATGCATATCATTTACTTTATAAGAGCATAATAACAACCTCCTAGGACTTGCCTCAAGGCCAAATAGTGCAATGTATAGGTAGAGTCTCATACTCCTACCTAGACTAAGTCAAACCCCTTAGGTCACCCTAGTTAGTGTTCACTTTATTACTTCATGCTACTTTCAGGAAGAATTGCCTTAACCGACATAGGCCACATGAGCTAAATGTGGAATCTTGTGTTATGAAACCCTACACAAAAAGAACGTGGTCTATTTACCAAGGTTGTACCATAACATGAACATAGCATTCTAGGTGGCTCCACTAGCTAGTCTTCCTACGTGGAAAACGTACTTTAAGGACTAGGAGACATACTTAGGACCATATTTATGCACAATTGCATTGTAATTTCTTTTTCATGAGAATCATTTTAAACTTAGTATCCCACATTGGGAAAGGGTACCTCTCATAACTATTTCACTCGATGTCATGCTAAAGTCCTTTTTTAAAATGTCTTTTACCCTGTATTTATCATCATAGATTAGTATAGGTTATAGGATACTAACCCCTTTTATATCATAATCATTAGCACATTTGGAATTGCATGATAAATTCCTTTAAATACAACCCCCATAAAAGAGATTAAATTATTACCATCAACAGGTCATAGCAAGGCAACACAATTGATATAGAATCAACGTTATATCATCATATCCTAACCATAATGTCACAATCCATATAATAAAGAAATTTCAATTACATTCATCATACCATCACCTATCTAATATAATCACAATTCATACTTTAATTGAACATCATTATCAAGTACAAGACATCACAATTAAAGTAAGGATTCAAGATCATATGTCTTACCAATTTGCCTTCACAAGCCTTTTTGCGTGCTTTTATTATTAACCAACCATATGCATCCAATAGTAGACTTAATAACATCACATAATAGTAATCAACACAAGAACTAAGTCAATTTTATCATTACTAACAAATTCAACATCAATTCATAACCTAGGGTTAGAGAAATAGGGTCACTTTACTTCTATATATTTAAGTATAACATGAAGAAGTACCCTAATTCATTAATAATAAATCATATTATATCCATAATTATCAAAATAAACCAAGAACAATACAATTTGAGAGGCCAACTTCGGAATAAGACTGAAACCCATGTTTTCTCAACTTTTGTAAATCAAATTTGAAGAACAATTTGGGAAAAGAAGTCCCAAAGGTGAAAAACCTCCATACTTTATCTAATAATGAAGATTGATGGAGATAAAGTTGAATCATGGAGACCTTGTGACCTTGAATTGATCTTAAATAGAGGCCCGACGAATAGAGAGAGAAATTAGAGAGAAGGAAGAAAATTTTGAGTTTGGGAATTGAAGTGGGTTAGGTTACTTTAATGAGTGTAAAGTCTTTATATAGTCCCTTAAATAAATTAATTAGACACCCGCTAACCCTTAATTAACAAACTAATCAACTAACTAACTAAAAGACAACTTAAAATGCAATAGTAAAAACTAGATATGATCTACGAGACCTCGACCTACGTTCCGTAGGTCTGTCAACGCCCCGTGCTTAACAACTGTCAATAATTCCAGAGACTTGGTTTTAAGGACCTTGTGGAGATTTGATAAAGTTTTGCACGATGAAGACATTGATACCTCATCGACCAAACGATGGCTCGTCGATCGGCTTCGTAGGTACCCAGATGTTTTGACTCTAAACACATGCTAACACATGTTAACACCCTTCTAGAAAATTTCATTGAATTCCGACTCTTAAAACCTCATGAAACATGCAAAGATATACTAACCTCCATTTCACAATTCACTGGACATTCTTTGACGTTTTGACTCTATAAAATTTTTAAATGTTTCAAATACATTATTTTAGGTCTTAAAAAGTGTTTTTAGTCTTTTTTCTTCATGTGAGTCTCTAGATTAGGTCTAGGATTTTGGGATTGTAGCATTAAGACCCCCCTCCCCTTAGGAACATTCGTCCCTAAATGACTATAAAATCTTCTTATATGGAGAGAATAGACTCAAGACTAACTGTCCAATAAAAAACAACATATAATGACATGAGTCAAAACTCAAATCAACATGACAACATAGAATTTACACATAGCAACTCATTCATCAGTTACCACATGTTAGAGCTTAATATCACAACATGAGGAATATTCTTCTCAATATCAACATCAGCTCAACATAATCATCAAGTCACTTATGCCAAAACTTATTCCAACACATTACCATGCTAAATATTATTTAATGAAGGCAATAATACATAAAACACAAATAAGTGCAAAATTAAGCCAAAGAGCATCTTCATATGAAAACTCACTTTTGCATAAACCTTTTGCCATATATATTTTTATTTTTGCCAAACAACTAATATTCAAATTGACTCATTATTTTCATTATTATTAGAATAACTAACATTAGTTAGGAAAAGGATGAGGATAAAGTTAATTAATGTCGGCGTCGGCCTCCGATGTTGCTCCCTTAACTAGGTGGTTTCTCTATAACACCTTTACCGAGGACACCTCCTTGTTCCTCAACTTTTTAACATGGCGATCAAGAATTTCCACTGCAACCTCGTCATAGTAAAATATCTCATCCACACCTAACCCTTCAATAGGAAGAATAGATATGGGATCACTAATACCCTTCTTAAGCATGGAGATATGAAATATCGGATGAATCGAAGATAGTTCACTAACTAGTCTCAATTCATATGCAACCTTTATGACTCTTTGCAACACCTCAAATAGACCCACATACCGGGGACTCAACTTTCCCTTCTTGCCGAATCTCATCACACCTTTCATAGGTGAAATCTTCAAATACACCATATCACCTACATGGAATTCAAGATCTCCTCTCATATTGTTTGCATAGGACTTTTGTCGACTGTAGGATATTTTCAACCTATCCCTTATCACACAAACATTCTCCAAAGCTTCACAAACTATTTTGGGACCAAGGGGTGAAGACTCAGCAACCTCAAACCACCAAACAAGAGACCTACATCTCCTACAATAAAGTGCTTTGAAAGGATCCATAGAAATGCTTGAAGGTTAGCTATTATTATAGGAGAACTCAATCAACGGCAAGTGATTATTCCAATTCCCTTCAAATTCTATCACACAAGATCTTAACATATCTTCTAGAGTTTGAATAGTACGTTCCGCTTGACCATTCTTTTTGGTGATGAAAAGTGGTGCTAAGTTTAACTCTACTACCCAAACCTTTTTTGAAAATACCTCCAAAATTGAGAAGTGAATTGAGCACCTCAATTCCATACGATGGAGAAATGGATCCCATGAAGACTCACAATCTCATCAATGTAGATCCTTGCATAGTTCTCCGCCATATAAGAAGACTTAAGGGGTCTGAAGTGAGAGGATTTTTTCAATTTATCCACTATCACCCAAATTGAGTCATTTTGCCTCCGAGTTTGAGGCAACCCAACAATGAAGTCCATGTTAATTTCTTCCCACTTCCAAGTAGGAACACCTATTTCTTGAGTTAGATTACTAGATGCTCGACTTTCACTTGTCGGAAATTTGGTCTCATGGATACAAACTCTCCTATGTTCCTTTTTAATACATCCCACCAATATATCTCTCTAAGATTACCATTCATTAAAGAAATTTTGATGGATAGAATATTGGGAAACATGAGTTTCCTATAACACCTTATTACACAAATCAGCAACATCCGGTACACACAATCTATTTTGTTACCTTAGTACACCATCCCCCCTGGAAGAAGTCCTCATTCAACTTACTAAGTACCAATTTCTTCAACTGATCCATCAATAGCGGATAAGGATGTTAATTAGAGTTTACCTCAACCACTAAGGATGATCACTCACATTTGTTATGAACCCCAAAACTACCTTTTGAGGAATCTTCCAACCAAATACCCAATCTAGAAAATATAAGAACATCTTTCACTAGGTCTTTCTTCCCTTCTTCCATGTCATATCCAGGGAAAATCCCCTAGATGTAACCGGAAGCGTCGTTCTCTTTGAGGACTAAGACTAGCCTCTAAGCTTACATCATTCATTCATAGGTCAAAAATATGTAAAATTTAAAAACATTTCGTTACTTCTACATTGAGGTTTACATAGACCTCTACATACACATAGCATTTATAGTGAGTATACATAGACCTTTCATATCGGAAGATTACTTAGTCTTCTACTTTTATTGCACATAGATATAGAAGATATAATATAGCCTCTAATTGATGTCTCATATGATAACCATCTTTCAAGAGTATATCAAATTGGGCCTAGCCCATGCATCAATGTAATGAAGCCACATATAGGCTATACAAATTTTAGTACTCAAATGAAAAAGAAAGAACATAATAGTCTTAAAACTAAACAACTTCATAGCTTGATAGTTGCATTGCCCTTGTAAAGTGAGAATCTACCCAACATGGATGAATGAGATTCTAAGTCTTCCTTCAATGTCGTCTCCAAGCCCTTCAACGACCGAAACCTAAATGGTTGGAGAAAAGGGATAAAGTGGGTTTAGTACACCACTTGTTCTAAGTATGAGACCACATCCACATATATTATCAAATCATGCTAAAAAGGAAAATTTGATTAAAAAATGCGAATTTTTATTTTAAAATTCTTATGCATATTCAAGAAGACCATACCAATCAATAAGACATATTCATTAAGTCAAAATCATGTACATCACACGACCAACAATACTAATTCTATTGAAGTCAACATACATATCACATAATTGAACACATAGTCAAAGCAACCCTATCATCAAGTTATAACAATAACAAGAATGAATAACTGTTCATTACAATATAACCAAAGAATGATAATTCCCCTAAACCCTCATTTAGTAAACAAGTGCCATGACCAAGAAAAGCCCTATAACCTTACTCAATCAATAAAACTCAACAAGAACCACGACTAATATCAAACTTCAGATAAAATATTATTTAAGAGAACATATCATCATTATAGTTTAGACATAAAGACCAAAAACATAAGCATAAGTGAATTTAACGTCATAAGACACCATCGATGTTAAAGATCATCATATACATATTATAAACCATCATAATAATATACATATATAAAAACAACCTTCTCAGACTTCCCTCAAGGCTAAATAGTGCAATGTTTAATTAGAGTCCCATACCAGTACCTAGAATAAGCTAAACCACTTAGCTTATCCTAGTTAGAGTTCATTCATTTAGTTCATTTATCCTTTGACATCCTGCCTTAACCGACATTCACCACATGAGCAAATTGTGAATCCGGACTCATGGTACCCTACACTGAAGGAAGGCGGACCACTTGCCAAAGTAGCACCAAAACATGACCATAGTAACTACGTAGATCCATTGCTAGTATTCCTATGGGTGCAACATAGTTAAAAAACTAGGAGACCTAGTTAGTATGCTCGTTATGCTACATGCATTCTGATCTTCAATATCAAGAGTACATTAGTGATCGTACTTTCCCTATGTGGGAAGGTACACTCATCACTCTAGCTCATTCGATGCTAAGTTAGATTTCCTTTTAAAATGTCTTTAATACCTTATAAGTCATCATAGCTTAATGTAGGTCATAGGTTCTATCCCTTGTATAATCATCATCATCATAACTAAATAAATAAAAATTGCATGAGTATATTCCTTTCATTACATTTCATATAAGTGAGGTTAGCACATTTACATATCACTTCATAGTAAGGCACATAAGTAAATCATCACCATCCTTATAACATTACATTTTACCCATCACCTCAAAAACCATAGTCAAGAAATTTCAATTAAACATCATACCAACCCTATCAATCTTAATAAAGGACATACTTCAATGCACTATAATCATTTAATAACAATTTACCACAATTGAAGTAAGGACTAGGGATTTTAAGACTTACCAAGTCTCCATCATAATCCATGATCAAGGTCTTACCATAAACCTTTAACTCAACCCCATAAGGGTATAACATCATCACAAATCAATACCAACATGACAACAAAGCCTATTGCATCACTACATCACAATTCATTAGTAGTTAGTAACTTAAGATAAGAGACTTAGTTCAAATATATAACATACTAACCTAGATCAATTTCTCAAGAACTAGAATGATAAGACTATAATTCATCCTAATCTATTCATTATTGATACAACAACATCATAGGATAGTATGTCAATCAGTAACCAATTCAATTGAACCAACATTACACAGTTCATACTAAGATCACACCCTAGGGTTAGGAGGAATAGGTCATGTTCTTCAAACTAGACCCATCCGTCAAGCGATAACATAAATAAGTTAGAATAAATTTAAATATATTAATAATATCCAAAATAAATCATAAACAAAGCAATTCACAAGATCCATTTCGAGATTTGAAAAGACCCACATGAAAATTCAACTTTTGAAATCAATTTGATGGAACCCTAAGAGGAAAGAGGTCACAGAGGTGAAATGAATCTCATACCTTTCTAATTGATGAAGATTGATGAATTTACCCTTTGAAGCCCTTTAACCCACCCCTAGATTGGTCTTCAATGGAGTTCTTCAACTAGAGAGAAAAAGAAGAGAGAAGGAAGAGAATTTTGGGTGAGGGAATTATGAGAGCTTAGCTTAGCCTAATTAGCTTAGGGACTTTATATAGGGTGTTAACTAACTCAATTAGAATTTAACTAAACCCTAATTAAACTCATAAATAATCCAACTAACTAAATAAATTAATTCAAAACGTGCAGAAAAATCAATATTGACAATCGACACCATGATCGACAGATTGTGTGTCCATCGATGGGCATTGTGCACCTTCGTGCTGCACATCCGTTGATGAGTTCACGGACTATGAAAAACAGGCTTCACATGGATTATGATAGGTTTCTGTCGATGGAAGCAGTCCATGCCCCGTCGATTAGACAACGGATAGTGGGTTGTATCCGTTAGTGGACACTCTCTTGGGCATCCTTTGACCACAACATGCAGGGGTCCTCCTCGAGGTCCCTTGGTTGGTTGTTGGTTAGTCTTACACATTAGTTTGGACTACGAATCAACTCTAATACACTTTATACACTCCTCCATAAAGTTTCATCATTTTCCGACTCCTAAAAGCTAGTCAAATAGGCTAAGGCACGCTAGTACCTCATTGAACTAGTTTTCAGATTTCATGGACATTCTTGGATATTTTGACTTGTAGACTTCCTAAATAACTTACGTACTTTAAAATAGACCTTAAAACAGTGTATAAACCTTGTAACACTTATGTTGAACTCTAGAGCATGTCTTAGATTTTTGAAGTGTTACATTATCCCCCCTTAGGAACATTCGTCCCCAAATGACACTAAAATCATAGAAGGAAGGAATAGAATGAACACTAGCAGCCCAACCAACAACAATACATTATAATTGTCACGAAGGGAATCTAAACCCTAAATGAGACCGGCTTTGTTGACCTCTCAGAGGTTGCAGACAAGCCAACATACGTCATTCTTACTTTATCTAGGTTAATTTTAGCGGAAAATTTGAAACTTTTTGTTTCCGTACATGATTACTAAACATTCTATTATATATAAATTTGTTAACCATCAACCACATAACATGAAGATCATCAAATGAAAGAAGCAGTTTATAATAAAGATAAAGATGTACTTGCCAAAATGGCACAAATACAATGTATGGACAAAAATAGGAAAGAAACGCTAGTGGAACATACTCCACTAGCTCAATCCTAAAACTAAGCTATAATCTAAATGGGAAGGATCCTAGAAAGTATGAGGGCCTACCAAGTCCGGATGAATGCTCAACGTTTGGATAGCTATAGTGTTGATCATGTAGCTCTAGCATCCACCGGTGCCTTCACGTAAATGTCTAGAGTTGTATAAGGTTAATGCACACTCGTACTAAGCATGAGTATATGGAAGCACACACCAAGGACATGCATTAGTAAGAATAGCTCTTTACTAGCAACATCATTATAGGAGGTCAAGTCAGTGGACTTGCCAAATTGAGATTAAGAAAGTCAGTGAACTTTCCCAATT